GAGGAGGCTCTGCCTTCTCCTCCTCCTCTTTCTCCTTCTCCTCTTTGTCCTTTTCTCCCTCTTCACCGTCCTCACCCGTCTCCGCCCCATCCTCTGAATCATCGCTTTTTGCAGCCTGGGAAAGGAGCAACAAACATGTAAACAAAAGAAAAGGCGCCACCATAAACGAGTGAATATGTTGAACATTGATTAGAGTGAAAGCAGAAATGCACAGTACTTTCTGGTCTTCCTTGACTTCATTCGAGATGACTGTCCACATGTCGTGGCAACCTGGCAACTCAAACGTAGTGACTACTTGTGGTCGGATGCTTCTCTGAGAACAGAATGGAAACAAATCAAAACAAAGTGCATGCCCAGCCTTTCCACACTTGCATATATAAATATGTATAAATACCCCACAACATGCTGGGGATAGAACTGTGAGCGTGTCAGCTTGTGTCTGGGGTGTTTACAGGCTACTCCGTCGTTCTCTGAGGCAGCCCTGGTAGACCCAGACTTTACTGTAGCACCATCACAGGACCTGTGGCAGACGGCCCTCACGACCACAGGTTTTAGGATGGTGCATTGACATTTTACCATGCTTATACCAAACCAGGTACACATGCATTAAAACAACACATAACCTCAGCGGGAGGAATTACCTGAAGTACAGACAGTGCGCCGTTCTTGCCGAAGCCAGAGCACACCACAACCTCCAGGTCGGGCTCGGGGTTGCTCTGGAACTGTGGGTGAGATGTGAGAAACCCTTAAAATGCAATTCTTGAGAAAGTAGGTTACATCTACAGAGGCACTATGAAGGGTTTTAAATGTGTGTACCTCTTCAGACAAGAAGGCAGGTTCACCCATGGAGGCATTTGAACAAGGTCCGATGTTGAGTATGCTGTCACACACCTGTATGGAAACACAGACCGCCCTCAGTCACCTTCCACAAAGATTTGCATTTACAGAAAAAAAAATTTATTTACCTCAAAGGAGTAGGTGGCCAGCTGAGTGCCTGACTGGGCCTCGCTCCCGTACACTTCTATCTCATCCACCTCATCTGACATAACGAAAACGTTGAGTGAAACACAGACTGGAAGATCACACACACACATTTCTGCAAAGTCAAAAATAAAGTTTTAACATACCTGTCCAGTTGGTGGAAGATTCTACTCGCTTCTTTTTGCTTGGTGGTTCATCCTGGAAATTCATTAGTAATGGTAAATGGTAAATGG